TGCTCCACCCAGAAACATGCTCCACCCAGAAACTTGCTCCACTCAGAAACATGCTTCATCCAGAAACATGCTCCACCCAGAAACATGCTTCACCCAGAAACATGCTCCACCCAGAAACATGCTTCACCCAGAAACTTGCTCCACCCAGAAACTTGCTCCACTCAGAAACATGCTTCATCCAGAAACATGCTCCACCCAGAAACATGCTTCACCCAGAAACATGCTCCATCCAGAAACATGCTCCACCCAGAAACATGCTTCACCCAGAAACATGCTTCACCCAGAAACATGCTCCACCCAGAAACATGCTCCACCCAGAAACTTGCTCCATCCAGAAACTTGCTCCATCCAGAAACATGCTTCATCCAGAAACTTGCTCCACCCAGAAACATGCTCCACCCAGAAACATGCTCCACCCAGAAACATGCTCCACCCAGAAACATGCTCCATCCAGAAACATGCTTCATCCAGAAACTTGCTCCACTTGAAACTTGCTCCACCCAGAAACTTGCTCCACCCAGAAACATGCTCCACTCAGAAACATGCTCCACCCAGAAACATGCTCCACCCAGAAACATGCTCCACTCAGAAACATGCTCCACCCAGAAACTTGCTCCACCCAGAAACATGCTCCACCCAGAAACTTGCTCCACCCAGAAACTTGCTCCACCCAGAAACATGCTTCACCCAGAAACATGCTTCATCCAGAAACATGCTCCACCCAGAAACATGCTTCATCCAGAAACATGCTCCACCCAGAAACATGCTCCACCCAGAAACATGCTCCACCCAGAAACTTGCTCCACCCAGAAACTTGCTCCACTCAGAAACATGCTCCACCCAGAAACTTGCTCCACCCAGAAACTTGCTCCACTCAGAAACATGCTTCATCCAGAAACTTGCTCCACTCAGAAACATGCTCCACCCAGAAACTTGCTCCACCCAGAAACTTGCTCCACCCAGAAACATGCTTCATCCAGAAACATGCCTCACCCAGAAACATGCTTCACCCAGAAACATGCTCCATCCAGAAACATGCTCCACCCAGAAACATGCTTCACCCAGAAACATGCTCCATCCAGAAACATGCTCCACCCAGAAACATGCTTCACCCAGAAACTTGCTCCATCCAGAAACATGCTTCATCCAGAAACATGCTCCACCCAGAAACATGCTCCACCCAGAAACATGCTCCACCTAGAAACATGCTCCACCCAGAAACATGCTCCACCCAGAAACATGCTCCACCCAGAAACATGCTCCACCCAGAAACTTGCTCCACTCAGAAACATGCTTCATCCAGAAACATGCTCCACCCAGAAACATGCTTCACCCAGAAACATGCTCCACCCAGAAACATGCTTCACCCAGAAACTTGCTCCACCCAGAAACTTGCTCCACTCAGAAACATGCTTCATCCAGAAACATGCTCCACCCAGAAACATGCTTCACCCAGAAACATGCTCCATCCAGAAACATGCTCCACCCAGAAACATGCTTCACCCAGAAACATGCTTCACCCAGAAACATGCTCCACCCAGAAACATGCTCCACCCAGAAACTTGCTCCATCCAGAAACTTGCTCCATCCAGAAACATGCTTCATCCAGAAACTTGCTCCACCCAGAAACATGCTCCACCCAGAAACATGCTCCACCCAGAAACATGCTCCACCCAGAAACATGCTCCATCCAGAAACATGCTTCATCCAGAAACTTGCTCCACTTGAAACTTGCTCCACCCAGAAACTTGCTCCACTCAGAAACATGCTCCACCCAGAAACATGCTCCACCCAGAAACATGCTCCACCCAGAAACATGCTCCACTCAGAAACATGCTCCACCCAGAAACTTGCTCCACCCAGAAACATGCTCCACCCAGAAACTTGCTCCACCCAGAAACTTGCTCCACCCAGAAACATGCTTCACCCAGAAACATGCTTCATCCAGAAACATGCTCCACCCAGAAACATGCTTCATCCAGAAACATGCTCCACCCAGAAACATGCTCCACCCAGAAACATGCTCCACCCAGAAACATGCTCCACCCAGAAACTTGCTCCACCCAGAAACTTGCTCCACTCAGAAACATGCTCCACCCAGAAACTTGCTCCACCCAGAAACTTGCTCCACTCAGAAACATGCTTCATCCAGAAACTTGCTCCACCAAGAAACTTGCTGTACCACCATCTTGGTGCTTCAGGTGGTTGTGCCATGCATGGCTGTGTGCTACATGCGTTTGTGACTCGTGAAGATCCGGGGTAGAATACATCTTCAGCAACCTAGGCCTTCTGTAAAAAGCGACTATGCTTGTCGTAAGAGGCGACTTACGGGATGGGGTGGTCAGGCTCGCTGACTTGGTTGATGCATGTCAATGATCCCAATTGCGTTGATCGATGCTCATGATATCAATCACTGGAATGGATTATTTACCATCATATAGCTGGAATATTGCTGAGTGCAGCGTTAAACAATAAACAAATATGCGTTTGCAAGTATAGATTTGCTTTGTTTGTGTAGTTGTAACTTCCTTTGTGAAGATCCGGGGTAGAATAGGTCTTCAGCAACCCATGCTTACCTCCCCCCGTGAAGATCCAGGGTAGTCTAGGTCTTCAGCAATCCATGCTTACCTCCCCAGTGAAGATCCGGGGTAGTCTAGGTCTTCAGCAACCCATGCTTACCTCCCCTTGTGAAGATCCGGGGTAGAATAGGTCTTCAGCAACCCATGCTTACCTCCCCAGTGAAGATCCGGGGTAGTCTAGGTCTTCAGCAACCCATGCTTACCTCCCCAGTGAAGATCCGGGGTAGACTAGGTCTTCAGCAACCCATGCTTACCTCCCCTTGTGAAGATCCGGGGTAGAATAGGTCTTCAGCAACCCATGCTTACCTCCCCCTGCGAAGATCCAGGGTAGAATAGGTCTTCAGCAACCCATGCTTGCCGTAAAAGGTGACTATGCTTGTCGTAAGAGGCGACTAACGGGATTGGGTGGTCAGGCTCGCTGACTTGGTTGATGAATGTCATTGTTTCCCAATTGCGTGGATCGATGCTCATGATATCAATCACTGAGTTGTCTGGTCTAGACTTGATTATTTACAGACCGCTGTCATACAGCTGGAATATTGCAGAATGCGATGTTAAAAAACAAACAAATCCTTCAAATCAATTCATAAAAGTTATTCTGGAAGTATTCCATGTATACTACTCAGAAGAACACACGATTGTCCACCAAAACACAGTACAACATCAATTTATTGAATAAAAGCCTGCAATATCTGTTGTATTAGCCCTCTTATTCTAGGACATGGAAATTAAGTTAATTTAACATCTAATGTAGGACTCAGATAGCAGACTGTTATATACACATTTTCTCCGTAATCTACTGTTGATTCAGTTAAAATATACCCAATATAATAACAGAGAAAATTTTTATAACAATGATCTGAAGAATTTATATCTGAAACTATTTATTGATAAGAGCATCAACATTTTAGATAAATTTGGATAAATTTGGATTTAGATCACACAAGGTATGAAGTAAGGTTTTGTGGGGTTGTACGGTAGATCACACAAGGTATTGAGAAAGCTGTGAATTAAGATGATTAACAATGCAGTGTAATGTGTACATGAGAATGAGCAAGCACTCCAACCCAGATGTAAGGTGATACGTGGACGTGATACGACCTGATATCACCTCGTTGTACCACAACGTCCCCTCTCTCTCACCAGTCAAAGGTTGATTGCATGTCACCTGATAAAAACACAGACTGGTACTATCTTCTGTACCACTGGGATCCTGAACCGGCCAGGCTGTACTGCTCCTTCATCCCTCCGCATCTTCCACTCACACAAGGTATATAAGAAAGCCATGTTTCCCTGTCCAGCAGAACCAATGTTACGATCGTCACTGCACACAACTCACAGCGTGGAATACATTCAGCTTGTGGTCGTTGTTGTGGCATTGGTTTGAGAGTGTCTTGTTAGGTGTAAGTTGAACTTTGTGTATTTATTGACGTTTGGATCTGATTATTGTTATTTTGTGACGATATGGCCACTGTTGTTCCTGCGATCCCAGCTCCACCCAGACAGGTAATGACGGGATTTTAATGTTAGACATATTGTACATGATACTGGTGTGTGGGTTTCAGTGTTGGTTTGATCCTGCTTCTCAGGTGCTCTGGGGCGGTCGGGTAGCCTAGTGGTTTAAGCGTTCGCTCGTCACGCCGAAGACCCGGGTTCGATTCCCGACATGGGTACAATGTGTGAAGCCCATTTCTGGTGTCCCCCGCTGTGATATTGCTTGAATATTGCTAAAAGCGGCGTAAAACCATACTCACTCACTTACTCATCGTGTTCAAATGATGTTGGGGCAGTTGTTAAAGCTTTCACTTGTCAACACGAACATATGGATTACATGAGGTTCTGGGTTTGAAATTTCACTAGAACCAATAATGGTTGTAAGAGGGGACTTAATGGATAGGGTGGGAAGACTGGGGGACTTGGTTGATGGTGTCAGTGCACCTCGACAGCTTGATTGTTTCTCACAATATCAATCACTGGATTGTCCAGTCCAGTCTTGATTATTTTCAGATTGCCTTCATATGGCTGGAATATTTCTGAGTGAGGGTTAAAAAACAGCACTAGTTTATTTGAACCTGTTTTCTTCCCCTTTCCAGTAAGCTTAAATAGACAGCTGTCCCTTCGACTCCAATCTACTGAAACTTGTGCCAGTAGGCGAGTTCTGTACAGATTGTCCAAATAAGTTGTCACAGGTCTTGGATTTGAAGTTGTGTCAAGTCCTGATGTGGCAACTAAATGAAGGCAGTAGTTAATCTTCAGGTCATACTTTTTTAGATCCATTTAGTTTTTATCTGTGATGAAAGGTTTTGATAGTTGCCAATAATCCACACGTTGACGCCATCGAACGAAGCATCGTCAAATTCAGTACTGCTTTTTCTGAGTTCTGTCTGATGAAGTTCTAGCTTATGTGTTATTCTTTTCCAGCTTTGTCGGAAAGTATTTCTTGGTCTGTACGACAGCCGATCGTGGCCAGAACCGGACTCCAGAGACGAACAAAGGGTGCGAGATTTTATGGTTCAGAAGTATGAAAACAAACGTTGGTATGTAGCTCCGACCGAGTCCATGAAAGAGGAAGCACGGCGCATGAACGAAGTATCAGCCAGTAAACAGCCTGCACAGAAACCACTACGATCTTTACTTGGCGAAAACGCCACAAAACTTGTTATCCACAACAATCAGGTGAGTTTTTTGTGAATTTGGATTTGATTTGTTATTAATTGATGGTTGCCATGGTTACGGTTCTTATTGCTGAACAGTTGCTCACAATATCAATCTCTGGATTGTCTGGTCCAGACTTGAATATTTACAAGCCGCCGTCGTATAGCTGGAATATTGCTGAGTGAGGCAAGAAACACTTACAGTCCTGTAACCTCAGTTAATGATAGTCGATATCAGTTGACTAGACTTGGATGTGTTTGTCACTGCAAGACAGCAACATTGTTTGTCTTGTTTAGTGACATGAATCATATATGTATTGAAGGCAGGTTTCTTCACATAATGCATGAATGAGACATACTTCAGAGATTTGCCTAGGAGTCCAGACTAAGTGCCCTTGTGCCATTGTGTCATTGTGTCATTGTGCCCTTGTGTCATTGTGCCATTGTGTCATTGTGTCATTGTGCCCTTGTGTCATTGTGCCATTGTGCCATTGTGTCATTGTGCCCTTGTGTCATTGTGCCCTTGTGCCATTGTGTCATTGTGCCATTGTGTCTTTGTGTCATTGTGCCATTGTGCCATTGTCATTGTGTCATTGTGCCATTGTGCCCTTGTGCCATTGTGCCATTGTGTCATTGTGCCCTTGTGCCATTGTGCCATTGTGTCCTTGTGTCATTGTGCCATTGTGTCATTGTGCCATTATGTCATTGTGTCATTGTGTCATTGTCATTGTGCCATTGTGTCATTGTGCCCTTGTGTCATTGTGCCCTTTTGCCATTGTGTCATTGTGTCCTTGTGCCATTGTGTCCTTGTGTCATTGTGCCATTGTGCCATTGCGCCCTTGTGTCATTGTGCCATTGTTCCCTTGTGCCATCAGTAGGGAGAACATTGTTATTTTGTTCATAATTAGGATGTTTTTAAAGTCCTTATTTTCAGAGTATTTTACCATTGCCTTGTAACATTGCATTCAAGGCAACGGTGTCGGTGGAATACAAGTTACCTCGACCAAGCCATTACCATGGTTATGTCTATATTTACATGAAATAGAAATGTTTTCATTCCCATTTGGGAGTTACTGACAATTGCTGCAGACATGGAGTGGAATATCTGCCTCTGAGCAGAAGACCCCTGGGGCCAGACATTTGGTGTATGACTTCACGTAGGGCAACGCATGTAGCGAGTTTCTTCCCCTGTAGGGCTTGTGGTCAGACAGAACAGTCATGTGAAGTGGGGGTCGGTACTGAAGCAGGCGGGGTCCAACTAATGATTTAAAATGATGCACTCAATCTTTTAATATGTTGGTTACAACATCTCCTTTCAAATATAATTAAATCTCGGGAAATGACTCATTTCCCAGCATTCATTTGAAATGATAACAGGTTTGTTATCAAGTTTGTATCATGTTCCTCTTTGTTATCTTTTAACCAAGGTTAGATTGCTTCATTAAACCCTGGATATTCACCATGCTGTTGTATTGAAGAGTGGGAAACCATCACTATACTAGCATTTGCGTGCTTCTATGTAGCAGATTGTTTTAAGCACTTTGGACTTGCTGTCATTCTCAAGTCACATGACGCAGAGTGTCACATGTGAAGACAATGCTTGACATGCAAATGATGTCATTCTATCCGGGCACAGAAAATAAGCAATTTACATCTCAGGGTCAACAGGAATGTAGCATGGGTAATGTGATACTTGTCTGGAGTATGACATCCTATTAGAGTTGTCTCCCTTGAACCATAAGTGGGCAGTTTACATTCATTAGCTGAAGACTGCTGCGTGAGGTCAGCTTGGTGATCCTTGTGGCAGGGGTGACACTTTGTATTAAGGAGTTTGACAGTTACATGTTTACAACACAGTCCTCAAGTCACATCTGAGTGTGTTTGTTAGTGCTGACTCAGCACTGAAACTTGACTTGCTTGTGTACAATTCTGGCGATGCTAATGTAGGTATTTCTTTGTATGCAAACACTTGTGGCTTGGGTTGTTTTTTTGGGTTTGATTTTGTAAAATATCAGAAAATTGTAAAAGCAATCTAATCATTGGGTTAGTTGTTTGTTCTCTTGCTATGCTGAGGGGCACGGGTGGCCCAGTCGTCTAAGGTGCTGCGATTCCCTGTGCAGAGTTGCGTCCCTTAGGCACGCCAGAAACCTATGATTGTGGGTTCAAATCCTGGCTCGCCCCAATTATGTTTCTAGGTTTGTCAGCACCCTACCCGTGCTCGTGGGTTTCACCAAAGTGGTAAAGGTCTGAGACCTGCATCATTTCGGGCTTTCTTCCCACATTAAGCTGACATGCCGTGATATGACTGGAATGATGTTAAAAGCGGTGTTAAACCCAACTCACTCACTCACTCTTGCTCTGCTGTAATCCAGGTCACTGCCGAGTCAGGGAGAGTTTCAAGTACAGGTGCTTGTTTAGGTGAAGGATGACATTTGTGTTTGGAAATCAGGAGAGTCGGCCACAGCACCCATCACACTGATCTGAACCTTGTCTGTTTCTAGTCTCCCCAGATGAATCGCACAGCGCCCGCCAACCCCGGGGCTATCTCAGCGCCCCCTGGGGCACCACAGCCGGTCCAACCCCCACAGCCCACAGCAGTGGCCCAGACCAAGCCACAGCCACAGCCACAACAAGGGTCAGGATTTGACCTGCTCGGGGACCTCGGAGGTGATCCATTTGCCAGCACCCCTCCAGCGTCGTCGGGAGGTGAGTGAATGATACATGCGTCACAGACATGCCTTGTTGGCGTAAAAGGTATTGTGGAGGTTTTTTTGTGAGTGTCGTTCTTCATGAAGCACATCAGGGCTTAGTTCAACAGAGGGATCTAACTTCTTAGCACAAAAAGAAAGCGATGGGGTAGCCCAGTGGTTTAAGCGTTCCCTCATCACGCCAAAGGCATCGGTTCGATTCCCTACATGGGTACAATGTGTGAATGTGTGCCGATTTCTGGTGTCCCCGTGATATTGCTGGATTATTGCTTAAAGTGGCGTAAAACAATACTCACTCACACTCACTCTTAGCACTAAGACAAGTCTGACAATTGCACAGGGGATGTTATGGACGTCCAGACAAGTCAGTTGACTCTCAGTGTAGAAGTGTTGAAGTCATTACTAATCTGTATTACTTGCCCGTGAAGAGATCACCCGTTTAATAAACATACAGCTGTATTACACATTGTGTAATACCAAAACATGTGCTTATGTACTCTCGGAACACGTTTCACGAACAAATATTGAAAGCTCTTAACATCCCTTGGCTTATTCAACGACATTGCGTGTGGAGATGATAGATCACTGAGAGGAGCTTATGCACACTCGATGACCCCAGCAACCTTGTTGCTAGGCTGACGTCACATGGCATTGTTTCGCCGATGAATCTTGCAACAAAATTCCACAAATTACGTCATCGGGTATTGTGACGTTATTGTAAACTTTGAGGTGCAAGGCCCGTTCCACAAGGCGACAGCGCAACGACAGTCGTTAGTCTTAGTTAAAGTATGTGAGTTGCGATAGTCTTAGCCCTATGATAATTTTGTGAATTCTAAAGTTGGACCATTGTATGGTATTAAATTCATACGTTTCAACTTTTGACGTGTTTAAAGTATTATTCTGTTAAACTCAATTGGACTATGCCGTGGATCGTGTAGGTGTCAGCCTATTCATACTTAACAGTATAATTCTAAAAACGTTATAAATGGCAAGTCATAAATAAAATACTAAACTCGCTCCCGTGTAAAACCAATTTTAGAAACTCGTGAATAGTTGTGGTATTACACGGGAGCTCGTTTAGTATTGTATATACATCTGTTTGTGTTGTTATTGATGAAGTGCCATCTCTGTGTATCTGGTTCATGCTCCTGTTGTTCCAACAACGTTACATTCTTTTCCCTGTTGACTTTCAGGCGGCGGCTTTGCAGATTTTTCCAACTTTGGTAGTCAGCCGACCCCTGCAGCCCAGGCGCCGCCCCCCTCAGCGTTCCCCATGTCTAGTGGTGAGCCTCATTCCTGACAGTTTGGGGTGGTTATTTGGTGTCCACAATGTCTGCCAGAGATGGAGGCCTTCCTTCTCACCGTCATGACAGCTTAGATTAGAACACAATTCCTACCGCAGCCTGTCATAGTTTGTTTGTTGTTTACGCTGCACTCAGCAACATTCTTGCTATTAATTTTCTTGAGTTTAGTGCGCACTTTTTTTCGAAAACAAATGCTGTTTCCGGCTTAGTTTACGAGAAAATACACAAGGTAATCTTAATCCCTAGATATAAAACAATGCCTAGCAGAACAATAAATACTATATAAACGGTAAATAAACATGTATTCGAATTTGTACTGACAAAGTTTCTCAGCACCCATTCGTTTGCCGGACTTCGCTGAAAGGGTACGGTGTAAATTTGTTCTGCGCATAATATTCAAATTTCTTTTTTTCCCAAATATTGAACCCGCTAGAGGGGGGTGCGCATTATACATGGGTGCGCACTATACTCAAGAAAATACGGTAATCACCACAGCCTAAGTCTGGACCAGGCAAACCAGTGCAATCTCTGTAAAAGGAGAGGAATATCGGATTGTTTGGATCGATGCTTATGCTATCAACCACTGGACACCAGATTACAAGTTGTATTGTCACTGTTAGATATTGATACTAGTCCTGTAGCCCTTGCCAAACATGCCCAATAGTTAAGGTATCATAAGGACTAGTAGTTGTATGTGCCATGTTGTCGTTACAATGTCTAGTAGATTAAAAATGTAAGTTACTACCGCTGGTATTAAGATATTGAGAACTGCATAAATTCCCACAGTATGCAAATGTAAGGACTACATGGTCCAAGATGCTACTGCGTTGTTTAGTTCTTTTGTAATATGAGGTAAGGTGAAATGGGGTTTAATGTCGTGTCCAAGATTATTGCACTTATATAGCGACGTGCATGTACGTGTGTGTTTGTGTGGCTGCTTGTACTAGTCCGGACTGATGCCGATTTAAAGTGCTAGCTCACTGAGATACCATGCCGCAGTTTAACATGAATACCCGAGCCGACCAGTCCTTGTTTTAGCCCCTTTATGCCGAGCGCCAGACAGGGTAACAACAAGTACCATCTTTTAACGTCTTTTGGTATGACGCGGCCGGATATCGAACCCCGGACCTTCCGCTCTCCGGGCTGACACTCTACCACCAGACCATGGAGGCGGTTTGGGAAGTGCTACGACCACTTCATGATTATTTTGTTTTTTATGAAATTTGTTCCGATAATGTTCATCTGTATTGCAGCTCCTCTTCAGCCATTGGGCAGTTCCCCAGCAACAGCAACTGCACCGTCAGCTCCACCCTCACAGACACCCCCCAACGCCGGCGGCGGCGGCGGGGGTGGTGGTGACAAGTATGCAGCCCTTGCCGATCTGGACAGCGTGTTTGGTACCGCCACGACCACAGCAGCCCCTGTCAACCCTCCTGCCGGGGGGAACATGGAGTGGGGAGGGACTACGGTCGCTGGGTCAGGGTCTGCCCTCAACTGGGGGGGTCAGACAACCAGTGTAGGGGGTGGGAATATCAACTGGAACGGCACAACCAGTAGCACGAGTGGGAGTGCACCTGCAGCCTGGAACAACCAACCTCAGCCAACGGCTGCGAATAGCACAAGCAGCATCTTCAGCAATACAAGTTCAACAACAGGTGAGGCCGATTATGCCTGAACTGATTTCTTTGGCATCAGTCTTTAGTACAATGGCCAGGCGCTCTCCGAGGTTCTGTATGCCTGAAGTAGTCTCTCCATGGGGGCATCTCACCATTAACTGGGTGAGATTGCCTCTCACACTTAAAACTGCACAGTCAAATGTCAACATGACCTAGTGAGTTGTTTCAAAGTGATATTAAGTTTATTGTTTGATAGGCATTTCTTAGATGTTTGACGGATGACAAAGGAGACACAATTTATGGATAACAACTGCAAAATAATGAAGTTGTTAACCATATATTGTGTCTACTTTGTGGTATTGAATTTGTTTTATATTGAGTACATTAGTGCAGATTTTTCACAACTCTGTGAAACACTTGCTTCTTCTTAAAATATTCATTTTTTGTTTTTCCTTTACTGCTGCTGAACAGGTAAAAATTATGCCATACTGTCGTTTTAATATTCTCTATCAACTTCACATTATTAATCTAGATGTTGATTCTTTAAACTCTTCATTGAGACTCTCTTTGTAATCTAAGTCGAATTGTTTAACAAGTTCTTAGAATGATTTTGTTTTTAGTTCTACTTTCCAGGCTTGTGTTTCTCATTTGTTCCTTGTTTACTATCAGATTGCCAGAAAAGCTTAAATCGATTAGGATTCCCAGGAAACCCCTTTGTCTCCCCTTCTGGTAACCGTGGTAACAATATAAGCATTGTGCATGCCAAGTTAGTTACTGTTTAACCCCTGTCTTACTCATTCTGTTGCTTGGCATTTACATTGAGTTCTTGCGTCCATCTTCTTCTGCTGTTTTTCTTGTTGAATCTTGTTTCAAGCTGGGATGAATTATGTGATCCAGAGTTACCTCCCTTGTATTTGAAACCTGCCTTGTGTCTTGATTGGACCGAAGTGCAACATGACCTGGATGATTTGCAGCGTTAAGTGAAGTGCATCAATGTTTATCTTTTGTTAATTTGACTGAAACATGCAGAAAAAATCATATCTTCTTTAACACATTTCAATGGTAAAAAATAATTATGTATATAATTACTAATAACAGCATGTTTACATATATGGTGTGAAGATGTAGAATAACACCTAGATAAATATCCTATATCCTTATATCATAAGTTAGAAAATGACTAAGTCGAATTTTACTCTTAAATTTTATATAAAATTTGATTATCTGCCAAAACAGATCCCAGAATTATTATTTTTTTGCAAAAGACCAAATAATGTTGAAAGCCTTTTTATGAGGGACGGGTGGCCCAGCTGTCGAAGTGCTCACTCAAGGCAACCATTAGCTTCCAGGATCAGGTGATCATGGGTTCTGATCTCCGTTTGTCTCCGGTTTGTCTGCACCATCATACTTTATGGAGTTGAAAGTTGTCACTGGTGTCACAACTTGTGTCAGTCTACAGTGCTTGATATGAAGTCCTGGGGAACCTGAGATCTTCTCCTATGGTATTAACATTGGGTTTGACAAGGACCCTTGACTTGCATAATTAACTTCCAACTTTAGGGGGGGGCACGGGTGGCCCAGTCGTCTAAAGCGCCGCGATTCGCTGTGCAGAGTTGCGTCCCTTGGGCTCGCCAGAAACCTATGATTGGGTTCGAATCCCGGTTCGCCCCGATTATGTTTCTAGGTTTGTCAGCACCATACCGTGCTCGTGGGTTTCACCGAAGTGGTAAACGTCTGAGACATGCATCACTTCGGGCTTTCCTCCCACATTAAGCTGACACGCCGTGATATGACTGGAATACTGTTAAAAGCGGCGTTAAACCAAACTCACTCACTCACTCACTCACTCACTCCAACTTTAGGCTTTCCTGCCTCATTATCCTGATATGTCGTAAGAGAACTGAAATAACTTTGAAGTCAGTGATGGGTCAAGCTCATGATCTATGCAGAGTATCAATATTTTGTATATGTTGGGGAAGCTCACCTGCTCAAGTTCATGCTCATTATGGCAAATGCCTGGGTTTGATTCCCCCACATGGGTACATGGTGCGAAGCCCATTGCTGGTGTCCCATGCTGTTATATTGCTGGAATATTTCTAAAAGTAACCCAACTCACTCATTTTTACCCATCCCCCTAAAGGAGTTAGATCCCCTCCAGCCTCCGTGGTAGAGCGTCCGCCCGGAGAGCAGAAGGTCTTGGGTTCGATCCCCGGCCGTGTCATACCAAAAGACGTTAAAGATGTTACTTGTTGTTACCCTGTCTGGCGCTCGGCATTAAGGGGCTTAAACAAGGACTGGTCGGCTCGGAGTCAGTATACTGTGTCCGAGTGGGGTATTCATGTTAAACTGCGGCAAGATATCTCAGTGGGCTAGCACTATGAATTAGTCCGGACTAGTACAAGCAGCCACACAGACACACACACATGCATGTACGTTGCTATATTTGTGCAATAATCTTGGACGCGACGTTAAACCCAATTTCACCTCACCTACATTCTCTCCATGGACACAACATTTGCGGCCCCTCCGTAAGTCCCCCGCCATGATATTGTTGGAATATTGCTTCAACCAGCTTAACACCCACCATACTCACTCACCCTCTCTCATGTATCGGATGTGCATAGAGGCTCGAGAGCTCCGTATCGGATGTGCATAGAGGCTCGAGAACTCAGTCTGGCCTGACACTGGAGTCTGCATGCTCTTACCCCATAGTTCTGTAGCATCCTCAGCTTGTGGGGGATGCGGCCTGTAGGAATGTTAGCATCCTCTTCCTCCAGCCTTGGTACCTCTCTACTCTAGGGGATGGCAACACAAGATTTGGGTTGGGTCATGTTTGGTAAAGTGTTTTACAAAATCAAGTGGGATGTTCCAAATTTGTTTGTGGATGAAATTCTGCATGCATTGGTTTGGTTGTTGTTGAATCCTTAGAGATTTAAGACAGGCTCAGAGTTGAACATGTTTAAACATGATGTACTGGTGAATGTGAATGTCAGTTGTGTCCTCAGGGCTCGAGCTTTTAGTTTGAGGATGATAGATCAATAAATAAACATTAAAAATCAGTATAAAATGTAAAGAATATTTTTCCTCTGCACTGTCTTGATTAGTAGTGACATGGAGACAGGGAAAATATCTACTTGGGCAGAGGTGGCCCAATTGTCAGCACAATTCACTGTGCAGAGTTACATCCCTTATTTGATAATAATAATAATAATAATAATAATAATAATAATAATTTTAAAAATAAATTTGAAAATAACCTGCTTGTAAGCCACATGGTTCCAATGTATGCTTGAGATGCCATATTGTTATTGCCCAGGTCAATGGATCGCTGTGCACTGGGAAGGAGAAATAATTAAGTTTTTGTAGCATAACATAGATTATCTCCCCTTGTGGCAACCAAGGTCATGGTTTAGCCATTGCTTTCTGAAGAAGGGTTTGCAATTCAAGGAGGCCATTGAGATTTGCTCCAATGGCTGTTGAATATTGGCAACCCCTAAATCTTAATCTTAAATTTTTTAATTATTAGATTTGACTTTCCATGACTTTCCAGGTGTTGGGGTAGCCCAGTGGTTAAAGCATTCTCTCGTCTTGCCAAAGACTCAGGTTCAATTCCCTACATGGGTACAAGCCCATTTCTGGGGTCCCCTGACATGATATTGTGGGAATATTGCTAAAAGCGGCGTAATACCACACTCCCTCACTCACTCCATGACTTTCATGCTTAAATTCAAACACTGCTCACTGAGTCGTGTTATGCGAGGATTGGGTGGTCAAAATGGCCGACATTTGGTCAGGATCCGGCTAGGTCATGATAAGCTTACAATATGACTGGTGTATTCCACCCTGGCATGATATATCCATGGTACTGCTTGCTAGTGTCAAACCCTCACTCACTCAGTGTAGCTCCTAACTGGATAATCCTGATAGTGTTGCCATGGATACAGGATGTAGCGGGATGCAGGAGGACTGATTGTATGTGTCAGCTCATTAATGTCTCAATGCTGCAGTGTTTTGTTATGTGCTTTCATTTATTGTTGAAGCTATACATGATTCTGTTTTGTATGAAAACTTATGAAGTGGACAGGTCAATCCGATTTAATCTCAACATCGGCTGGTCTTTAATATCCGTACATGTGTTTAAGTACTAATTGGACATAATGACATTACTGAAACATGTTTAACATTAATGTTGGTTTTTACATTATGATTAATATCTTGAAAACCTATGATCACAAAGTTAACGATCTTTCGTAATATTTGGACATGAGGTGACATTGATTTCTGATGTTAGTTGTATGACTGATTGTGAACCGTTGTCCTTGTTCCTCCAGCTGCGAACCCATTCGGAGGAAGCACAAGTACAACTCAAGCAGCCGCTCCGCCGGCCCCAGCACAGGCGAACCCCTTCGGGGGAGCAGGTCAGGGATTCCAGCAGCAGCCGGTCGGCTTCGGTCAGTTCGGGGGTCAGCCTACAACACAGCCCGCCAGTGCAGGTTTTGGACAATTTGGTATGCAGAACGGAAGCGGTGCGTTCGGAACGACGGCGGCAGGTTTCCCCGGCTTCACCCAGTCAGCACCGGCTGGAGCCAACCCAGGATTCGGGGCTCAACCTCAGACGGGATTCGCAGCGGCTCAGACGGGATTCCCCACCCAGCCCCAGGGATTCGCAGGAGGGTGGGGACAGCCAGTCCAACCTGCGGGAAACCCTTTCATGGTGAGCTCTTACACCCCCATGCCAGCTCAGGGACACCACCCCATGGCAACTCAAATGCAGACCCCCCAATCAGGTCAAATGCAGACCCCCCAAACAGGTCAAATGCCGACCCCCTATTCAGGTCAAATGCCGACCCCCCATTTAGGTCAAATGCCAACACCCCATTCAGGTCAAATGCGGACGCCCTATCCAGTTCAGATGCCAACCCCCCATTCAGGTCAAATGCCTGCTCAAATGCTGGACCCTAGGGGTCAGTTTTAGCCCCACTCTAACATGGGTTGTGAAGCTTGTACTAACTCACTGTTGTGTTGTGTCCGTATCCCACCCCTGTGCAGTATAGACGATGGTGTGACACTCTTCAGGGACGATACGGGATGATGGTTGGTATGGAGACAGCTGGGATGAACATTTGGGACACAGCGATCCCGTCCCTTGTGGAACCTCCAGACTTCTGACTGTTTAAGATTTGCATGTTTGGAACATGTCTGTGGCATCCATATTCACCTTCTGCATCCTTCCTCATCTCAAGAGGAACAATGAAACATTTTCATTTCATTAATCCAATAAATAATTAGAAGACTATTTCTGAGATTCAGTATTGTTTAGAATATTTATTATTGAAAATGTGCGCTGAAAATTTAGGGCAGTATTTTAATCTTACTACAACAATGCTTAGATCATGTTAACACCGGTCCAGAAGCCAGCCCTATAGCAGGTCTTCCCAAATGACTGCATTATTGTCGATTACAGCATTCAGTGGGACAGTAGGACTTTCTGTTCTTCTGATTATGAATTTCTAACTAATGTCAGTCTATCTAACTCTGCCTGTACTAAGACCTCTCTGTACTGCTGGCGTCTTCTGCCTCTCTTGTAACTCTGTGGCTGTGAACAGCTGTAGCATTGCTGATACGGCATAAAGCTATTTTTAGTCATTCTGTCTTCTGTGTGTTGTACTGTGGGTAGTACTGTTGTATCATGTGTTGTATCATGTGTTGTATCATGTGTTGTACTGCTTGTATCACATGTATATTGTGTTATGCTGTGTGTGTCACATGTGTGATACTGCTTGTATTGCATGTATATTGTGTTATGTTGTGTGTGTCACACGTGTGATGTTGTGCGTATCACATGTATATTGTGTTATGTTGTGTGTATCACACGTGTGATGTTGTGTGTGTCACATGTGTGATGTTGTGTGTGTAACATGTGATACTGTGTGAGGTGAGTGAGAATGTTGTTCAGCGTACCCATGACGTCGTGACCGAGCATGTTGCGGTTTCCTTCATAATGCGAGATGGTGCTGGTTCTTCGTCTCTAATATCTACCATGTTGTAACAAGTCATACATGATAATAAACCACCAACATCACCATGGACAACACTCCATCTTGTCTGTCTTGATAGGAGGAGATTGTCAGATGTGACACGTCCAAACATGGACAACACTCCATCTTGTCTGTCTTGATAGGAGGAGATTGTCAGATGTGACACGTCCAAACATGGACAACACTCCATCTTGTCTGTCTTGATAGGAGGAGATTGTCAGATGTGACACGTCCAAACATGGACAACACTCCATCTTGTCTGTCTTGATAGGAGGAGATTGTCAGATGTGACACGTCCAAACATGGACACTTAAGATCTCCTTTGATAGAGAATCAACTGGGAACTACTGAACTAACACTCTGAGTAGCGTTAATCTGCATATCCGATATGAAGGGATGTTGAGACTGGCGACTGTCTTTAAGCCAGTGATGCATGTGTTTATGTGTTTTGTAAATAAATTGTTGTCTTTTGTGTTTTGGTTTTTGTTCCTGAGTGTGGTGATATTTTGGTTTTGGTTTTTGTTTTTATCTTGTTGGAGATATTCACATTATGTTCAACGATCTAGTCATGCATGCACTGAAGTTGACTAAAGCGTGCAGAAGTCAGAAAGAAATGCAAACATTAGTGACTCTTAGTTTAACCATAGAGTTCTAGATAAGTTTTGCCATTAAACAATATATCACGTGACTAGTCCTGTGGGTACCCAGGTCCTACTCAGTACCCACCCGACCCGAGTACCCGAGTTACCCGTCCCAGCCCTAATGAATACCACATACTGACTAATACAAAATGCAACACATTACCCACAGTTGGTCCTCCTTCAAACACATCAGGTCATATTTCCCCTTGTCACCAATGCTGTTTCAAGATGGGCACTTAGCATGCTTAGAGCATGTAGAGGGATGTATGAACATTGCCTAAGTGTCCAGCATTATATTGACTTATTATTGTGGTGAGTTTAATGGACCTGAGTTAGCAGTATTCACCTGGATTAAACATTATATTTGTATATCCATTTTAACAATAAATTTTACAGCTGCAACAAACATCTATCCTATCACTGTATACACGTGCCTACAGGTCATATCACAGTCCCGATGAAAACAAGCTCCGGACCGCTGTGACCTATCCTTCAAGGCTTGATAAATAGTTGTGTTATCACATGGGGTGAAACAGCAGTGTATCACATGAGGCCACAATACGTTAACGATTAGGTGTTCATCCATATATTGAGTGTGAGGAATTTTAGTTTTTATATTCTCTTTTATTTAACAAACTGGCCAAAGTATTTAGGTGTCAGTGGGGTAGCCTAGGGGTTAAAGACGATCGTCACGCCAAAGGTCTGGGTTTGATTCTCCACATGGGTAAAAAGTGTGAAGCCCATGTCTGGTGTCCCCTGCCGTGATATTGCTGGAATATTGCTAAAAGTGGCGTAAAACACTACTCACTCACTCAAAGCATTTATGTATGTAACTGTGAGGTGATGTCCTTCACATCAAGTCTGAATGTTTGCTAGGCCTGTCTATGTAGCCAGTATTAAGGGATCACAGGCATCTTGGGAACTTGAGAACTTGGGAAGAATCAGATGACGTGAGCTGGGGTTTGTACTGAGGTGTGCAGGGATGAAAATATGATAATATATATTGACCTAGATATAAAACTTTGAAGTGAATTTGAAACATATTGAATTTCAAAGAATCTATTTGAGTTAGCTTGAGTGTAATTTTATCTCAAGAATCAAAAAAATAAATATGGTGGAAGTTTCTGATGTTTGAGATATTTTGGTGTCATATATGTCTTGATATAACTTTGAGGATTATGGGCCTAGTTGCTCACACTTATCTCAGTAAGTGATTATTGTAAGTGTATCATGATCCAGGTTAAAGGATCATGAGAGTCATACTGCCACACAGCCTTGTAGATCCCTGTCTAGAGAGCATCTTTGGGTCATAGATGGAGATAGTGACTGATAACCTGGGATTAATGTGGAGGGGTATAAGGAACAACCTGACACCCCTTTTAACATAATAGGCATGGCCCTCATCCCCTGCGTCATAGTGGGAATAGCCAGTCCACATTCTTGATCAACAGAATAAGGCCTGACAATATATATTAGTTGGTTTACAAATTAATGTCTTGCAGAATGTTTGATCAGTGGTAGAACTAAAAATTAACTAAAGACTTTAATATGTTAAATATGTCACCCAGTTACTCTCAGCTACTGGGGAATATTTTTTATTTCCTGTTTGGAATAAACTAAACTTATGCTAGACAACCTTTCAATAGGAGTCCATTTAGACAGGGTTAAATATCCTGGCTGCACATTTATACATTACCTGGCGGTTAATCCGGTAGTAATAGTTCAACCAACAAACACCCCCATACTCAAAGTGGGAATGACCCATACATCTTACACCAATCATTGGCACAATAAAAGTGGCCCTCATTATCACCCCTAATTCTCTTAATGGGATGATCCAACTTCTGCATATTGTACATATATGTATGTAAACATAAACATGGGTCAGTCCACTCTTGGGGTAGATTAAGGCCAAGACCTCAGATCAGTGGGACAGACTATTCTATAAAATCTTACAAATATATAAGTTAGTAACCATTCACAAACGATTTCCCATAAACAATACCTATTTTCTAACCCAACGCATTTTTCATTCCGATTGATTGCACATATTTCAATAACTTTCATATCTACATGGCCTCGATATCAATGTTGACATACACTAGTGAGATAACTCTCTGACAGTCTGTGATCCATTGTCTGTTATTCACCAGTAGATAACAAGCCTCACAGCTCATCAGCTCGTAGATACATCATCATATTTATTTGGGACACTGTATAATTTAGGTTGATATGTGACAGAGAGAAGTTTAGGGTATGATACATCACAACATCTGATCTCAACCTACCCAGCCTGACTTGTCAGTAAAACATTTGTAAACATTGAAAAAAACTGTATAGCCTTATGATGACTGTGATCTTCTCCCACTTGAGGTGCTAATGTCATCCTGTTCTTAGTCGGAACCAGTTGTTTGACATTAGGCCTGGGACTACCCGGACCCGTGATAAGTCACGTGATATATTGTTTAATGACAAAACTTATCTAGAACTCTACTGTTACACTAAAGTCACTAATGTTTGCATTTCTTTCTGACTGTGCACCCATTCCTTCTGATTTTTCATATGGTTGAATAAAGATATAACTTAATTCAACTTCAGAGTATGAATGACCAGATTGTTTTTTATATGTATCTAAATTCGATTTGCCAGGGCTGTGCTAAAAATGTTCCCAATCGGACATTTTGAGACATCTCCTGAGACCTACAGTGGGTACCCGGGTAGGGTCGGGTAATAGGGGGGTGGGTACCCGGGTAGTAAATTTGAACTCGTCCCAGCCCTATTTGACATCACTTTTGTTGTCCTTGGAGTCAGGTCTATATTTTGTTGTACAGAAAAGCCTTCCCTACATTTTGCATACTCAGAGAGAAAGTCCTTTGCGTGTTTACATAACACCGTTAGAAATTGTCATTAGTCCTGTAGTCCTTGCCAAACTGCCGGTTAGTTAAGGTATCATGAGGACCAGTAGAAATATGCCATTCATAAGGATTTTGCAATATGTTATCATTATTGGGACTAGTGGACTCAAAATGTCAGTTTCTACTGCTGCATAAAAAATAGGATATTCATTTTTATATGTTTTTAAATATTGTTTGTAATTCATGCTGATGTGATTTTTAAGAGATATTTTAAGCATATTAGCCTGATTTCAACACAGACAATTTCCTAAGAAAGTTTCCCCTCATGCTGGAAGTCTATGTCATAGTATGGGAGTTACGATTATCTTAGCGCTAAGACTGACATGAGTCTATATCATAGTATGGGAGTTACGATTATCCTAGCGCTAAGACTGACGTAAGTCTATGTTATAGTATGAGTGTTACGATTATCTTGGAGCTAAGACTGACGTAAGTCTGTTATAGTATGGGAGTTACGATTATCCTAGCGCTAAGACTGACATAAATCTATGTCATAGTATGGGAGTTACGATTATCCTAGTGCTAAGACTGACGTAAATCTATGTCATAGTATGGGAGTTACGATTATCCTAGTGCTAAGACTGACATAAATCTATGTTAAAGTATGAGTGTTACATTTATCCTAGCACTAAGACTGACGTAAATCTATGTTATAGTATGAGTGTTGCAATTATCTTAGCGCTTAGACTGACATAAGTCTTTTATAGTATGGGAGTTACAATTATCCTAGCACTAAGACAGACGTAAGTCTATGTCATAGTATGGGAGTTACAATTATCCTAGCACTAAGACTGACATAAATCTATGTTATAGTATGAGTGTTACGATTATCTTGGAGCTAAGACTGACATAAGTCTGTCATAGTATGGGAGTTACAATTATCTTAGCGCTAAGACTGACGTGAGTCTATGTTAAGGTATGGGAGTTGACATCACCACGATATGGGAGTTCCAGGCAGATTGATTGGAAGACATGTATGAAAAGCTGCCTGCATCTGTATCTTTCCCTTGATTATGTTTGTCAGATGACATAAATTCCATGTATCAATATTTATTTCATGCATATGTTTAGCAGACTTTTATGACAAATGTACCAACAACTGTTGTTATTCTTTCAGAACGCGGCCTCCCAACAAGTTCCGCCAAGAGGAAACTCGACCAATCCTTTCTTGTGATGTGACACGGGACAGCTTCTTTGTCGCCACGTTAAACAGAAGATCCTGTATTCTTACATGCAACACAGATACAGCATGTGCTGTTTCCATAGGGATGGTTGTCAAGGACGACGGTCATGTTACCAGTTCTGATAGTAACCATGGCAACAACAAACTGACAGCTGTAGATCCAGCACTTGGTTGTAACAATTTTGTTGTGTGTTACCATGGTAGCGGTTCCATTCCAAGGGGATATATTCAAGTATGATCTGTGACAATACGATTCTTGTGATATTGTCACCATGTTGTCATGGCGACAGTAGCAGATGACTTTGGTATCGGCCAATAGATGTGTGATCTCTTAATGGTGCGATTTTACCAAGTGACGATATTTTAGTTTCATTGTGTATCAGTCGTCCTAGATCACATGACTGAGGTACAGGAGTCATGTGACTTTCTCTAATGCACGTGCTTTAGCTTCCCAGCACAGCGAGATGCGTAACGTCATCCGGCCATGCGTTGTGTTGACAGTTTGTCAAGATGGCTTGTCAAGGCCTGGAGCATCACCATCGAACTCTAATATCACTGTGGATATTCCATTTAAGCATATTACTGTATTTCACTACGTTGCTTGTACTCTGCTAGTTGCTGCCGATGTCGTCGTTATTGACTACAGGAGCAGCGGAACCCATGATGCACCATGTATGCACAGACTCAGTATTCCAGGCAATGGGTCGCCCACTCCGTACATTTATAAATATATTTGTGTTATCAAGGTCGGTGAAAGGTCAAGGTCAGTGAAAGGTCAAGGTTGACCGTACTGAAATGGTGACCTTGGATAAGAAAAGTGAATCTCCACTACCATCTTTCTGATGCAAGAGCATCCGCTAGCCTTTTTATCAAAATCTTGTTTCCACCCTTGCAACATCCTGCCCACTTTCCTGTGCTTATGATTGGACTATCTCACATATCGATAGTCCAATCAGAGAACGTTTCATAAACTCAACATCCATGACTGGTACACCTTCGTATGAAAATGATTTACCACTGCCCGTCCTTGTTGACACATCATTTTCATCTTTTAAACCCCAAACGATTGCGTATGTTTTTGTTTCAGGGATGAAATCGCAAATGTTTTCATTATCTGATTGACTAGGTTGTCGCCTATGGTAGTTGGCATGGTGAAGCTATGTGAGATAAGAACAGTTGTCTGATTGGATATCGCGATTTCATTACAAGGGGCACAACTTGTGATCTACGCGAGGTGGCGCCAGGGTCGCGCCAGGAAAAGTGGCCTTGATGTGGCAAGGGTAGAAACTAGACTTTGGTACAGGCTAGTGGACACGCTTGCCTCGGGAAGATGCTCCACTACATGTATATAATTGTCTTCATACAGGAAGTTGATGAGTTATTACTGGAAGAGGAACAGGAATATGTCATTTATTGTCGATCCTCGTTTTAGCCAATAGGAGGATATATAAACCATATTTTCTATCCAATATTTGTTATGACATCTCGGCCATGACACCTGGATGTCATTCACTCACTATTACATGGATTCTCTTAGCGCTAAGGTCCCTGTGTGGAATAAGGCCATTAGCACATGGAGCTCTACATCAGAAACCATCACGCCATGCCAACAAGTGTGTATTCAAATCGAGTTGAAGGCTGTTCACACTCTGATAAGGTAGATACAGTTCAAGACGAATATGTTTCATGTTTGGATAGTCACATTAGAAAGACGTTGGTAGGCAAAACGATGTTCTATCTGCTGTATTGAGAGAATTTGGCGGAATTAAATACGCTATCTCGTGAACGTTCTTGAGTTGATGACTAGATCTATGTAAATAAATAGATGCTTGTCATGTTTCCTTCGGTAAGGATGTCCGCTGTGAATCAGGTTAGCTTTACGATAGATGTCAACATCTCTGATGATAATCGTAGACTTGATATAAGGCAATAAATATCAAACAAAATATGAATTCATTCCCATATGGCAGTAGTGCCGCAATGTCCTCCAAACATCGCGGCATTGAAACCTCGGTCTGTGACAGCAGTGTATGATGCATCCAATGTCGCGTGTTAGAAATTGAGAGAAATAGCTCACTGATGTTGTAATGTTTTCTTTGTGATAAACATTTGATCAGTATTTGGTTAAATTCTTTAATGAAGTTAAATACACTGTTAAGTATGCCTTTATACGAAACTGTTAATACGATGAATAATTTCCCTGCATGTCAAAGTGTGAATTTGCGAATAAAATGCACACTAACCCTTCTTTTTTTTATACAAACTGATTAGGTCATAAAGATTTTGGAAATATCTAGAAGGGCTTCACTGCTCTTGATGAGGCTAGCGGGTATCCGTAGGGTGAACCTGTTTGTGGGCTGATTCATTATTAGAGACAGCAGCATGAGAAACAGTTGTGTGGCCAGCTTTACCCCTGTGCTTACTGTCTCCAGACAGGAGTATGTGTTGTTGATGTTATACCCCTGTTTGACATGGTACAGCCAGTCTGTGTGATGTTGTTATTACCATCAGTAGCTATACAGATGTAGCACTATATATGCTATGGTATCTACTACGTCAGTGGGGCTGGCTGACTGGCTCTAAACAAACTATGGGGGAATCGTGACCAAAACGTCTTTTGCACAGAGTTGCATCCCTTTGTAGTTCCAGGATCCGGTAATCATGGGTTTGAATCCAAGCTTCATCCTGGCTATGAATCTAGGTTTGTCAGCACCATTATCAAACCAATTTACCAACTTTTACTTAGTTCCTCTTCAATTCTCTCAAGAGACTAAAATGAAGGCCAACTTTTGGCAAACTTTAGTTTGTTGTGGCTGACTGCGTGACAGCTTGGATCGTGACTCGTGGTTTTCGTGGTCCAGACTAGCTGGAATGTTGCTGACATCGTGACTTTAGACATCATTCCCTCACTCACTCAGTAAATCAATCATGAGACTCGTCTAGCCACTCTCCCTTGACTTTACTTGCTGTGATCGCCATTGAAAACCTGCTGCACATAAACAGGAAGTCAGTATACCAAAGTTAGACCAAAATTTGTTTAAGCTTGGTATACAAATCCTCCGACTCACAAAAATTGAAAAGTGAATCTTATATTTTTATAAATGAAAAGCAGTGGGTTTTTTCTTCCTTTGAAATAAGTCATTTGTTTCAAAAGATCCACCACATTTGCTGTCGCTATCAATATTAATAAGTTATTATGATAGTATGGTTAATACATTTTTCTATAAAAATATCTCACACAATCGCCTTGCAGTGTTGGAAATTAAGCCTGAAAGTCCAGGGGTGGTCATCTTCGCCCCAGGGTCACAGGCTACAGATGTAGGTGGTCCCTAGGGTCATTCACAGTAATGGTCAAGGACATCAGGACCCCCCCCCCCCCCCACACACACACACACACACACACCTTAAAGTCAAACACTGCGGCTTGACCCTGACTACGATTCTTGCCGGTGATCATGGTTTCTCCGAAGGGCACAAGGGGCGGTCGGGTAGCCTAGTGGTTAAAGCGTTTGCTCGTCACGCCGAAGACCCGGGTTCGATTCCCGACATGGGTACAATGTGTGAAGCCCATTTCTGGTGTCCCCCGCCGTGATATTGCTGGTATATTTGCTAAACGCGGAGTAAAACCAAACTCACTCACTCACTCATATTAGGTTCTCCACCACTTTAAGCTGTCATGCCGGGATATAACCGATATTCTGTTAAACATGGTGTAGCGTTCAACTTAAGCTTGTTCAAGCATTCCGTCTTCCTAGGACAAGCTTCGCTTCCAACTCTGTCTCCCAGTGTCACTTCAGTGTAGAGTTTGGGCAAAGTTATGTCATACACACACCTTGCATGATTCATTGATAATCTACTTTTATGTTATTACTTTCAGTATTTTGTATAACAAGAGCAAGTTATATGTGCAGGTTATTCACTGTGACAAATCCTTGATACTTTATATGCTACTCAACTTTTGATAAGGATTTTGTTTTATCTTTCCATGATCCCCAAAACTGATGTATGTTGTGTATATTTAAATAGAATGGCAATCTGATTGTTCCTTTCAAAAGTTGAGTCATATGTTTAGAAAAATGGAAGTAGTGATTCGCAACAAGCAAATTCTCAATTAATAATGGCGTAGTTGCCCTACTGACCTCCTCATCACCAAGTCCCTAACGCAGTGGTAGAAGTAGAATACCTGATGGTAGCTTCACGCAGTACTCCTTGTGATGGTCGGGTGGTCAGACTCGCTGACTTGGTTAATGCATGTTATCTTATCCCAATTGCGTGGAGGGGGCGGTCGGGTAGCCTAGTGGTTGAAGCGTTTGCTCGTCTCGTCGAAGACCCGGGTTCGATTCCCGACATGGGTACAATGTGTGAAGCCCATTTCTGGTGTTCCCCCGCCGTGATATTGCTGGAATATTGCTAAAAGCGGTGTAAAATCAAACTCACTCACTCACGCAATTGCGTTGATCAATGCTCATGATGTCAACCACTGGATTGTCTGGTCCATACTCGATTATTTACAGACTGTTGTCATATAGCCGGATTATTGCTGAGTGTGGCGTTAAACAACAAACAACAAACAAACAAATCCTTGTGATGGTATTCATTCATCTAGGCTGGGATATGCCAGGACCACCTCACACTCTCATCCCAAGAAATTCCTAAAGTAGAAATAAAAATTGGCCAAATCATGTGATCTTATCATCAAGTAACATCGTGATGGCTTTTGGCAACTTGTATTTCACTGATAACAGGACCCAAAAAACAGGAAGGGGGACACTCACTCACTCACTCCACTGAAAGAGTGAGTGAGTATTGTTTTATGCTGCTTTTAGCAATATTTCAGCATTATCACGACCGTGGACTCCAGACATCTCCAGGTTTCACGAGCTGTACCCATGTGGGGAACAAACCCGGGTCTTTGGCGTGAGTAGCGAAGGCTTTAACCACTAGGCTACCCGACCACCCCTCTAGTGAAGGACATGTGAGGAAGGAGTTGGAGTAACTTGCTGTTGGGATACATCATCGCCATGATATAAGTTACGAATGTTTTCTATGTTGTCATTGTCAATACTTCCCGGGTTTGTATTCACTGTGTTCCACCAACAACGTGAATGTATTCAGCCAGTATATTAACTCATGTCTGGTCCAGGCTCAGTTATTTACAGACCGCTGTCATGTAGCTGGAATATTGCTGAGTGTGGCGTTAAACAACAAACAAACAAACACACATGCATGCACGCGTGTGTGTGTGGTTACTTGTACTATTCTGGACTGATGCCGATTTGTAGTGCCAGCCCACTGAGATACCATGCCACAGTTTAACATGAATACCCCACTCAGACACAGTATACTGACTCCGAGCCGACCAGTCCTTGTTTAGCCACTTAATGCCGAGCGCCAGATCGGGTTTACAACAAGTACCATCTTTTAACGTCGCTTTGTATGACGCGTCCGGTGATCGAACCCTGATTTTCAGCTCTCCGGGCGGACACTCTACTACCAGACCAGGAGGCGGTCTGTAAAATTATAAGTACAAAAAATCAAAAAATGAAATATGGCAGTGTATTACAGCCCAAATCCGTGAGTAAAACTGTGAACTTTACCTGTGCAATGTGTAGAGTAGACGGCCTCAAGGGTGGGGCAGCAATAGCTGGAGAAACATTGCAGTGTGTGCGATTGATCCAAGCACTCATTGGTCAGGCCACCCGCTAGTTTCCTCTCTCAGCAGCCAGGCCCTGGTGGCTCGTTGGTTAAATATGAGACCACACTGCAGACCACCGCATGTATACTCAGCAACTAAAGAAATGCGAATACCATACATGCTGGTTAATATCTGAAGAATTACCCATATTCAAGAGAGATAAGTTTGGTTTGATGCACAAATGAACATAATGGTATGTTGTGTGAACCGACGCTCATGAACACATCACATGTGACGTCATAGACCCATGACTCGAGATACACCATTTGCCTCGTGCAAGATTAGCGTGTAAAGTTTGGAAATCATGTGCAGCATATTGTGATAAGAATAAAGACAGTGTCGAAACACTTGACTGATTGTTAGTTTTGTCAAGTGGTACACACTGGAAACATCTCTTCTTAACATACATACTTCTCTACGTGTTGCTATGGTTCGCGTTTCTTTTGGAGGTGAGTATATTTACAGGTGATTAAGAACACAGGTACACAAACTCAGGAAGTATTGACGATGCTGTGTCGTGAAGGCCGTCATTGTGAGCATGGCACCACACCTTCCTTCTCGAACTTTGTTTCTCAGTTTCTCTGACATTTATGTTTTTATGCCAACTGCATGTGCATGATATTTTATTTGACACGGTAATCCTTTTTGACGTATTGGGCGCGAGTGATTGGAGAAGTTGGAAGGATGGTTGGTTGAACACTTCTGCTGCTAGATTCTTGTCCACCATGTTTGTTTGATGCTACTAGTATGGTGCACACGACATCGGGACTTGCTGAAACAGTGAGAGTATCAAGATATAACAGTGAGGGTATCAAGCTATAACAGTGAGGGTATCAAACTATAACAGTGAGGGTATCAAGCTATAACAGTGAGGGTATCAAGCTCGAAATAATAAGAAAAAATGATTCTTTCATTTGTATGGGTTATTGTGACTATTACACAAACTGAATGTCAAAGCATTTCATGAACTTAAAACAATTACTAGAAAATAGAAATTCCAAAATGGCGGGCGACAACCGCATCAGTGACATCCATGGAGGCTGCATTTCAACAACTGAAAATTTTACTTTTTAAATCATTTCTTGCAGGCCGTTGTTGGGAACACACACCCCAACCCCCACTTGTTTTAGCGAGGTGGTGAAGAATGGCAGCTAAAAAATGTAAAACATGTTTCTTAGGAAGGCACTTATGCACATCCCTTACCACAGGTGAAGATGAGGAAGAGGAGATGCCTTCTCCGAGCACTTCATATGAAAGTAGGGAAAACTGCCCTATGGGGTCACTGTTACCTTATTATGATGCTTGATTTTCAGAACCTATGAGTATATTTAGGAGCAGTAGATTTAATACATCATGTCTACATGTTGGCATACCCAGATGCATCTTCCCCAGGCAAGGGAGTTAACTGACTATAAAAGTCCAGTTTCCACCCTTGCCGAACAAGGCTGGAATTCCTGGCCTCAATCGTAGCGCCAACAGTGGCTATTATGGGTTACGTCCCTTCTATGCCTCTCCTATTGACCAATCAGATTCAACCTCTCATATCACTTGC